TAGCTCAGAGTTAACTCGACTTCAGCTATGAGCCCATTAACCCTTGGCGTCCTCTGATCTGCCGGAACGCAGATAGAAGCAAGACATTTTTCTTATTGTTGCATATTAGTTGCAGACTAAAGGTTAAAGAAAAATATCTTTAGCTTATGAAAGTTACTTTGCCCTTTATTATAATATTATGGGAATTTGATAATGACTATGTTAATTTGAATGCGATAAATAGGTACTACATAAATATTAAACTTTACATGATAGCTATTTTTGACGAGTGCATCGTGTACACAACATATTTCATAATCGACGGAAATGGATAACGAGTGAGTAAGCTTATCTAGAGTTGTTCATCGCGTCTAGTGTGTTCTACTGACAGCTTAGTTGCAAATATATTGAATAGCGGTTGATAAGTGCAACAGAGTGGCCAGGCCCTGTTAGGTACCACGTCTTAACTTGGCAAAAAAGCTCTACAGGGTCTATATTTCTATAGATTCGCGTCTTGCTTCGGAATGGCAAGAGTACAACCTTATTTGAAAGACATGATATAGTGGCGTAGTTATTTTGGTCTAAGGAGAGTTTAAGTCAACAAAAGGAGATACGGCATTTGTATTGTTGTAGGGCACCCTTGGAGTATTTTATATCCTGATTTCTTAATAGAGATATGAAATAAAGGCCAGGAGCGTAGTAACCCTAGTCATTGCTGGAGTACTTTACCAGGCTTTACTAAGCGCCGATTCCGAACCAGTTGTGAAAAGCGTAGAAGAAAGAGAAGAGGAATGCGATGCGGTCGGGTGTTCGTAGTATTTAGCTAACAGCTAACAGGTATATAAACAAGGTGCGACGGTCGTACGTGTGCCGGTATGTCGCGAGCCGCGGGCCGGCCGCTGTCCACTAACCAGATAACGCGCGCCCCACTTTCCCGCTTCCTTCCTATGACACACTTGAGCTAGGCTTCTCCGCAACTTACATTATATCATTTGTTATTACTTATTAGATTTACAACCCACTTACATTACTTACACCTCTTATAATAATAATAAAAACTCATGTTATTTCCCTTACTTAAAACCTTTCCAATCATGCACAAAATTGTTCACCATTTCCCCCCTAAACAGTCAATAAACCCGTTTTTGATAAAGAATGTCTTGCCAATTTCCTTCGAATTATGGTAGAGTAAAACTGAATGAACTAGACATAAAAACAGGTTTATATTTATATGCTGTGCATAAAATATTCAAAGTAAGGTCGATAACATGAATTGTGTAAAAATACTTTAATAAAAATAGCAAAATCTTAGAAGTGCTTAACTCTCACACAGCATAAACAAAAACCAAGGGAGCAAACTAGAGTATGCAATCATGCTAATGGCATTTACCAATTACGTTCACATAGCTACAATACATTTAATAGAGCTACACGCCATACTCTGTATTCTATAGTAAGTTGCGACAATGAATGGACTGATGACCTTCCAACTTACATCACTTTGAACTTGCGTCTATTCTGTCAACGGAGACCAATTTACGGAGCATGCAAGATTTTATTTCAAATAAAAAACAAACAAGCAAACTAATGCACTAAAACAAAATCAGCTTAACTCAAAAAATAAAAAATCAAATCAACAAATAAATACAAAACTTAGCTACAGGTTAAAAAATTAAGTAAGGGAAAACCAAACGCAAACATTTGGACTAACCAAGGCATTATCATTTGCGCCTAAATCAAGCGCGTTGCTAATATAACCGAGTATCTGGAAAGACAAATGTATAAAGAAACAGGTTTAATATTTGTTAGGTGATTAACAATATGCTCATGAATAATTCTTGCTACAAAACTGATAGTGATAAGCTCAACATCTACACAAAATAATATAAAAGGAGGTAAAAAATAGGTATATACAATACAAGAACTTTGAAAAAACGACTGTGGCACTTAGGTACTATAGACTTACACGCAGAACACACACATTGTCATGAAGGACATCTGTCATTTTCTTAAGTTGGGTGACCCATTACACACACACATTTAAATAACCCATTGACATTTTGGTATTTCAATCATTTCTAAGTGACAGTATGTCCGCCTTTTTTCAACATCCTTGGATATTTAATTAAAAAAACTCTAAATATTTTGTATTTTTATTTTAAGTATACAAAATTGCATCCACAAGGCTGGAGAGGAAGAGATAATGCTCAGTATCAAACATTTCAGGATGTGATAAACAGTCAATGTCAATATGGAGGACTCACTAAAATATTCAGAGTGAATCATGAATGTTTGTCATCCAATTTTTAACTCACTTTCAAACAACTGCTTTACTTGAGTCACAGTTCATTTTAACCCATTATACACAATAATACACTGCCTACAGTAATTGATAACAATATTAATTCATGTTTTTTCAAAAAGGAAAATTCATTTAATATAAAATACCTAACTGACTATTATTAAAATAACTGTTGTCATTCATTATGTGTAACACAATAAACTTAATACCAATTTGTTCTGTTAGTAAACTTTTAAAAACAAAAAGTGTTTAATTTGAAATAAATATGTCTACTTTCTGTATAAGATATTATTAATCATGCAACAACATGCCTTGACAACTTCTAGTATTGGTTACAAGAATCACAGGTGCTTTTATAGATAATTATTTATCAATATCAATGCAGGTACCAAGGCATTAAATCAAACTTTTTTTATATGTCTTGAAATATATTAAGCAGCCATTTAATAAAAATGTAATGTTGCTAGCACAAATTGCAATGAATATATTACAGTGAAACAGATACTTCTTGAGTGGCACTTAATTGTTGTGCTATCTTAAATATTTCAAGGTGCATCTTAGTGACAATATTATAAAGAACATCTTCAAGTCAAGTGATGTTAAAGTAGTTGGGCCATAGAGTTCTTGTTAGATTTTTATGTGATTGCCACATATGATAAGAGCAATTAATGTAGCCAATGAGTCATATACCATTTAGACACAGTTTAGGCCTATTCAAACTTGTTTTTACTTAGTAACAGTACTTATTCATTCAAATTATTTTAATATGTCATAATGATAATGAGAATTGATTAGACAATTAATTGATAATTAGTTTTAATTTCTTAACGAGTTGTCTTGTAGAAACTAATTTCATTTAAATAAGTCCAGTTTATTCACTCTAGAGTCTAATGTCTAAAGTTAATACTAATTCACATACTCGATTCTTCTAAAGAAAGGTATTTTTATTGTTCAAATGCAAGTAGACCATAAAATGTGATTGCATTCAATCAATTGATAATAAAGTGCATTTTTAATTTATATAACAACATTCTGTTGCTGTTTGTGCCTGCATACAGGCTTTTTAGAATTGATAAGTTACTTGTAAATTATTAGATATATATATTTGTTACATGTCACTTATTGATTAAAACTAAATGATATTAGTTGCTACAGCTGCTCAATGTAGATGTCTTTACATAATTATAATCTACCTGTCTCTTATTAGACAAACTTTAGGTTTCCACAATACTGTGTACTTGTGTTATCACAACTAAAAAGATAACCCATAATGTAATTCCTCAATATTACGAAATACTCTTATCTTTCTTGCGCCAAAGGTACTTTTACTTTCCAAAAGACACATACATTATCATAAATATTTATGCTGTCACCTCAACATAATCAAGACACACATTTAGTTAGCTATCATTACTAATTTTAGTCAATTGTTTGCACTAGTCTTACTTGTTGAACATTTTAACACTGTTATCAATGTAGAAAGTTAATTTGGTATAAAAATGTCTCTCCTAAGCCTGTGCAGCGTCATACATGTGTCGTCTGATTACATTGCAATGGTGAAATCAGTAAACTCACGTATCCACGACAGAGACAAACTCTGCAAGTAAAAAACCACTAACAAACTACTTGTTATCAACAATTGAACGTAAACAAGAGTACTCACCGATTTCGGCATCTTGGCGGTTTGTGATCACAATCTGCAACGAGACAGAATACATGTAACGATACGATAATTTTGCTCACGTAAATTTCCACCGCGGCTGACGGGTCCTCTGCCGCGTGACATTACACATGAAATTGTGACTGAACGCCTACTTGTACACACGCACAACGTTCATTAGGTGCTCTATTCAGTGCTATTCTATACATTTTCACACAAAATAATCTTGCTCGAACGATGACAATAAAATTGTAGTCACCGGGCAGTCGGCTGAACTTAGAAAAACGTTAAATAAAAATTCAAAGTGTTCAGGCCGAATATCAAAGTGGTGTCTTGGGTATTTATAATAAATATATTTAGACTGTTACTTACCCGGTAATAAAAAGAATATCACCTAATAATCCACATAAGTAGAACAACACACATAAAGAATGCACACACCCTTGAGTCACAAAAATATCGCGATGTGACAACTGCCTGCGTGACGTGGTAGCCGATGTTGTTATCACAAAACTATCACAATCTGCTTTAATTTTATTACTGAATTTCGACCGTGAAGAATTAAGTTAAACTTAGTAAATAAGGAAAAGATCATAAAACTGACAAGAGCTAAAAGATTAATATGTAACTTAGTGGACGTTTACAACAGTTAAGTTTAAATAATATTTTCCAATAAATCTACCAATAATTTATTTATTTTATAATCTAGCAACATTTTATTATAGAAATCAATTCCACGCAGTATTATTATGGAAATATGTCTGTGTTTTTTTGGCCAAAACCTGCATTGTTATTGATTTAACTATCTGTTTAAAACAACGTTACGAAATTATTTGTTTGTGTCAATATTTTAATTTGGGCACTTAATTTTATTAACCGACTTCTTTTGTTAGACTCTTTATTTATCTTATTAGGCTATTAGGCTATTGCGTAAATTGAAACATATTCAATTTCGTTTAGGAGTTCTAGGTCAACGATTCACTGCATCCACGTTACAAAAATAAGTAAAATAATGAAAATACGCCTAGGTAGAAATAAATCGTCTAAATGTAGGTAATTGCATTTTCAATTTTAGGCAATCATGTTTTAGAAAGCATTCCATGTTATATGTTATTTAATCAATTTCGTACTTATTTCAAAACGTAAAATCGGTTGTCATTATTGAAAATTAATGTCATTTTATTATCCTAAAATGACAATGAATGAATTCAAAGCCAACTGGAAAAGTGAATTTGTCTAATAACGTAAATAAAATAATAATTTTCAAATAATACTACAAAATTAAATACAAGTGATTACAATGTGCAACTGTTATAAGTTATAACTTCATGTAATTTCATATGTTTATAATCTAGGAGTCGGTAACCTCAACGAAATGGCATCAACGCCCTTTCGTAGATTGCTTCATTGGGGACCATTGTCGGTGTTTGGTAAGTTTATTACCTATTCTTCAGGAGTCATAATTACTTTATATTTTCATCAGTAATAATTTATCTTCTGCTGAAAGCCGGGCACTGACGAAAACAGGAGCATATGTGTGAAAGTTATTTATAGCTCCCGTTTACTTTGTGGTAAACAACGACTAAATGTGTTCGTGTTATATATTTTTAATCATCTTTTATAAGTGTTTTAATTGTACTGTGTATGTATTCAGGGGAAAGGTTGCTAAGTGTCAAAGTTATAAGGAAACTTATTGACCCCAGTGATAAATTCTCGTAATTATTATTTCAGGTATAATAAAACTAATAACATGGGCGATGGTTCACCTACTGGGCATGTGGTGGCCTCCACACTCATCACTGGCAGCGGCCCTGCATGCTGCACTGTTTCTGACACTGGCTGGCTCCACTTTATACTTTTTCCTTCAGTCATTACTTGAAGGGCCAGGTTTTGTTCCACTGGGTTGGAAACCGGTGAGTACACCTGTGTTTAATTTTAGTTTACAATGTTGATTATCACTATACCTGTAATTCTCTATTTTTTGTTCATTTATATAATCAAACTCTTTAAAATTAGTACAATAGTTTTTGAGATTTGAGCTACAAGCAACAGAAAAAGTGTCAAATAACAAAATTCCTCTAAATTAACCAGAAAGATATCTGTTAAATATAATTAAGTAATTTAGTTAATATAGGGTTTTCCAAACTATGAGTCTTGTCCGTAGAAAGATGCACTAACCAATGTTTTTTATTTTGTTTTTCATATCGGCAACGGTTTAATACCCTGAAGGCGGGCCCTGAGTTTGGGAACTTGATTTAGTTAGGTTGAAGTCCATTTTGGGAACCACTGGGTTAATATCATTATTTTTGAAATACACAAGTGCGGGAGAGCCATGGTTCGGCACGAATGGACCGTCTTGACTCTAGTGATACCATGGCCTCACAGAAAACCGATATGAAGCAATGCCTGTGTTGTGTTTTGTCGTGTGAGTGAGGTTACGAAGGCCATACTACCCTCCCCCCTTCCCCAATCTCTCCAATCCCAGAATCCCCCACAATCCTCAAACTCCTAATCCCCAAAGGGCCAGTAGCGCACTTGTAGCGCTTCTGGTGTTCCAGGTGCCCATGGGTGACGCCGATTGCTTACTGTCGGGTGATCTGATTATGCCATAAAAAAAACTCAAATTGTCGCAATGAATTAGATTTAAAACAATTAACTTTTGATTGAGGAAATAATTATATTTATCCTTGTGAAATAAATCTATGTATGACAAACAGTATTTTTTTTAATTTCCTGTTATTTATTTTCAGGAGAATGAAGAGGACACATATTATCTACAGTTCTGCACAGTTTGTAATGGATTCAAAGCACCGAGGTCACATCACTGTCGGAAATGTAATTATACCAACAATTATTTTAATTTATACCATCAATTTGTGATAAATGGTCATTACGGTAGGTCTTGGCGTTATTAATATAATATTGATAATGATGGATGGTGGATGGTGGATTGTGGTATGTAATAATTTAATTAAGTTCTTGGTTTATAGAGTCATCTATATTGTTATCAAACTGGTTACCAAGCAACTTCGAATCTGTTTAAGGTATTTCAAACCGCAATATGTAATTAAAATCCTATGTGTCTAAGTGTTCCCTTGTGGACAAACTCATTTAAAGGCTGGGAATGTTTTAACCAATTCTAATGACAAATAAGAAACAAGTTGTTTGTCTGTGATTAGAAATAAATAATACATTTTGCCTTCCATAGTAGTATTAGTTAGTCTATTCAGTATCAATGTATTATCAAGATTTTTATTATAATAACATAATATTATTTCTTATATCAATGTGGCATGACCTTGCTGTGTCCAAGTTTCTGTGGTCTCATTATTATTAGTCTCATATTCTAAAACTCACCACTATTTAATTACTGAACATCTCCAGGTGGGTACTGTGTGAAGAAGATGGACCACCACTGTCCATGGATCAACTGCTGTGTCGGCCACAACAACCACGGATACTTCACTTTGTTCCTCATATCCGCTGTGCTCGGCTGCTTCCATGCTTCTGTTGTAAGTTATTTATAACAGAACTCACATTGGTTATACTTTATAGTGTTGTATTATGTTAAAAGTTGATGAGAATACATAGGTAGACGGGTCACCTGATGGTAGGCAATCGACGCGGCGTCCATGCTCAACCGTCAAACAAGAGCAGTTAAAAGTGCATTGGCCCGGGGGTGAGGAGTGTACTACTCTGGCAATGTTATATTTTTATATATATCATTTTGTTTTTACTTAATCCATATATTTGCAGGTGCTAACAATCTGCATGTACCACGCAATAAACCGCGTGTGGTACATGCACAACGGCACAGGTCGCGAGCCCATGATATACCTCACCCTGACGACACTACTGCTGACCCTGCTCGCTATAGGCATGGCTGTGGGCGTCGTCTTAGCTGTAGGAGTACTTTTATATTTACAAGTAAGTATTTTCTTAAGTTCTAAGTTATTGAAATGGTTGTACAGCACCTCGATAATATGGACATAAAAAAATCCAAATCATTTACAGTTATGTCAACATAGTCGTAGCAATAAAGTATTTTGCACCTTAAGTTAAGTTATCTCAAAGATGAAAATAAAATGACAGGTACAATGCAAAATTTCTTAAAATTTTACTTCCATTAAAAATGCACTTTACTTCCTACACAATAAAATTCTATTTTCCTCACAGCTGCGAGGTATATTCCGTAATCAGACGACGATAGAAGACTGGATAGTTGAGAAGGCGCAAGGTCGAAGAGAGGAGCAAGATTTGCCAGAGTTTGTGTTCCCTTACAACTTGGGGTGGAAGAACAATGTCCAGCTCATACTGCAAGGGTCCAAGTGTGATGGCATCAAGTGGCCACTCAGGGAAGGCTGCGGGGAGTATGATCTTACGGTGAGTTGTTTGAGATACTGAGAGTGCATACATACTTGTGCTTTTAATGTGTTTCTGAACTTTATTGTCTGACGTTCTTGTTTACGATTTCATCAGTTTATCAAACTTTCACCAGTTACAATATTTAGTCTATCGGGTCTATCCTTCTACACTCAGCTACCATAAATGATCTTTACCGATCCATACCAGACGATTTTAAGCTTATCGATCTATCGGACTGGTAGACCATCAACATTTAAATGATCAAATTGTAAAATAGGGTCTTGTTCTGCAAGTGAAACAAGTGAAACAAGTGAATTTATTTCTGCAAATAGGTTACAAGGCAGCACTTTTACACGTCAATTTTATCAAGCGAACGATGAGGTCGACATTTCCTGACTACTCTGAGAAGAAATGCCGAAACAAACTCAGAGGTCTGTCTCTTTTAAAGTCCAGGCAATCAGAAGGTCCTTATGACGAATTACTCACTGTGTTTATTATGTAGTATGAGACATCCGAATAAATTTAATTTGCTCTCATTTCCAGCGAGAGCAGCAAGCCCAGAAGCAAGACAAGTTGGTCCGGTCGCGGCTGTACCGCGCGGAGGCGCCGTACTCGGGGCGCTGGCTGCCGGCGGGCCGCCCGCGCGCCGCGCTGGCCGCGCCCTGCACCGACGAGCCGCGCCTGGCGCTGCGCCCCGGGGACGTCGTCAGGGCCACGCGACAGAGGAAGTCAGTTGAAATGTTTTTTACTATGAATATTGTTATCTTAATTCTGGCAAGTTTTATATTAACTAGCCTTTGATCGCCATTGATAAGTTTGAAAAGAGGCCAACGAGGCCGCGGTAATTTATTGCGGTTTATCCCCAACCTCGATTGGGTATCAGTCCTACTGGAGGGCCCCATCTGTGGTTTGATGGTCCTTTGAGGCATGCATAACGTGGCGACGCTCGAGGTCTCACTTACCAATTTATTTGTCGATTTATATGAGAATTGTCAACTGATCACAAGCATGGCTACTGAACAAGATGTCCAAGTACTTACCCCATATAATTGCAGTAAATGAATTTAAATAACTAAGCAAAGAAGTAAGAATTACGTTTAACATATCTTTTTGATATTATCTTTATCTATAGTCAAATCTCATTATTATCTTCTTCCAGGCACTGGTTATTCGGCGAGAAGTTAGTGGGCGAGGGTGAGAACGGGCGCGGTCCACGCGGTTGGTTCCCGCGCGACGCGGTCACGCCCTGCGACTACCTCCAGAAACCCAAGCCAGACTAGCTGGGACACAATGTCTGGACAGACAGACTGGTATGACTTATCTATAGATATTAGACGAGGATTAGTTAATAAATGGAGTGTGTTAAATGCTAAATGTAAATGTGGTGTATGTCGCGGAGAACCTAACGGGTAACCGGGGCTCCGGCTCGACGTGCAGGAGAAGGAACGGGGTGGTTTTTAGTCAGTAAGAGTCTGACACTCCCTCCCGCCTCACCCAGGCGGGAGCAGTCATTCGATGATTTTCCCCCCTTAAAAAAAAATGTGGTGTATTTATTTATTTATGTACATTGTACACACATACAACATAAAGGACAACACATATATAAAATTAAAATACAAAGGTACCACATATTCCTATTGGAATTTCTTCCTGTGGAATTTCTGTTAAACTTTATTGTTTGTCATGTTAAACACTGTTAAATAGATGTCTTTTTTATAGAGAGCTAGTTCATAAAGGGACACGCACAACTATAAAATTCTAAATTCATAAGTCACTGCGTCGTCGAACTCGCATCGATCTTAGCACTCCATTTGTTGACTCCTCTATAAATAAATTATTATGAATCATGTTAAACATGAATGGTAGTGTATGAATTATAGTGTAAAAAGTCAGTCAGTACTGTTTAGTAATATGGTTGCTGTACATAATATACAAGTTGCAAGTATTATAGGCAGGCCTAAAGTAATTGTCACTATTTGACTCGCATATGAAATTGTATAGAACTTTAGTTGGTGATTAATACGTAAAATTATTTCTCCTTCAATAATTTGACTACAATAAACTTGTTCCTATCGTATATGCCACTCTAATGTTTATTTGCCGACAAGCAACGATCTCAAAACGTTGAATTTATTAGTTTTTACTATTTACTTTCATTACTAAAGTGTACATGTATGTACAAGAATGTACTTCGCAATGTGTCTCAATGTGTTGAGATGTTGTATAATTTATTTTTCTATTTAATTAGAAGACAAGTCACTAATAAATGGCGCCTATTACATTTTACAATTGAGTGCACAAAATCAGGATTTTATTGAATCCATTCAGGCTTCTCTAAATTAATATTGCATGATGTTTTCCAGACTTTAAAATATAAGAAATATAAGGATTGCATGTGCAAAATCATTAAAGTGTCTTCTGTAACTATCGACGACTATGAATTAAGATAACAATAAAAGATTCAAATGTCAATAAAAATCATCATAAGTTAAAGTACTATCGACAAAATTAACAGATATCCAGTGAATAAGGCTATTGATTGTGACTGTACGAGTCATCGTCGAAAATTGGCAGTATGAAGAGTGCATCCAGTGTATTCGTTGATTGTACTTTACAAGTTTAGCACTATATGGTGTGTTGTGTACTCTGTGCACGTTTGAAAATGCATTTAGTCGTAAGAATTTTTATAAGAATTTACGAGTCATAGAGTTTATACCAAGTAATTGTTATAAGAACTTTAAATGTTAAGCTCTTATACGGTTGTTTGTTATTTTATAATTTTATAACAATATATATTATTGTGATTTAATAGTTGTGATGTAAAAGTAATCGGTTTTATATCAATAAAACTGTACATAAATATTCAGATGTTTCTTTTTTTAAAGTAATAAAACAATAGTTTATGTGTAAAAAGTCTTTATTGTGCATTAAAAATAAATTATTATTCTCAAACACACAAATGCACTTCTCCGAAGCGTAAAATTAGTTGTCAATAAGTTAGCTTACGATATAAAATGATATAACTATACATCTAACTCTCAAGAATGTTAGATTATCACGAATTTCTTTTTAAAATTAATAAATGCAAATTATTTTGTTACAATTCACAGTTTATCAAACTTAATGTTTCATCTCGTTGAAAGTATTTTTGTCTCAAAAGTTTGCACTGCGCACACGTTCGTCCAAGCTCACGTTCTTACGTACTACATTATCAATGTAAAAAACTTCTTACTATATTTTGACGACATTGGAAAAAATTCACGAAGTTGGAACTCGTTTACAATTGATCATGGAAAGACCAGATGAAATGTAGCTGTTATACATTAGTAAAGTTATACCAAAACAGGGCCGTCCAAGCTACATTTCAAGTGATCGAATGACTGGACATACAACGGAGGAATAGGTAAAAAATCGACTAAATAAAGTTGACAAGACGATACTTCTAAAACGCCGTATATCCAGCCTGTTAGAACTTTGTCATTTAGTACTCATTTTCCTCATCAAGTTCGCCTTCAGTGGAGTCCACTCCGACCTCTTCGTAGTCCTTCTCGAGAGCAGCCAAGTCCTCACGAGCCTCGGAGAATTCTCCCTCCTCCATTCCCTCACCTACGTACCAGTGGACGAAAGCACGCTTAGCGTACATCAAGTCGAATTTGTGGTCCAATCTAAAATAATACAGTAACTATATTATTGTTTTGGAAAGGAAACGAACACGGAACGTGATTACATTATGAAATCATGATACATACCGAGCCCAGGCCTCGGCGATGGCGGTGGTGTTGGACAACATGCAGACAGCGCGCTGCACCTTGGCCAGGTCGCCGCCCGGCACCACCGTCGGGGGCTGGTAGTTGATGCCCACCTACGGACGAATGGAAAGTTATGACAGCTGAACTAGAATAGGTACGAATCAGGTCAGGGTATGAAAAAGAAACATGAAGTTAGACAGGATAATAAAATAAAAAAGAAGATGTACTTGAGTTTAGTGATATAAAAGGGACGTTATACTTTTGATTCTAAAAAAAATTGTGTCCAATATATTACTATCCAAAAATCTATCAGTTGCCTTTAAAAAGTTGTGACGTTTATTACTAGAGCTGTTCTTTCCCCAACTTTTAAATTTAAGCAAGGATCAGCCTTATTACCTTGAATCCTGTGGGGCACCAGTCCACAAACTGGATGGTTCTCTTGGTCTTGATGGTGGCAATGGCTGCGTTCACGTCCTTAGGAACGACGTCACCTCTATGAAGCAAACAGGAGGAAGTTAAAGACTGTACTTGTCTAGGACTAATATTTGGTCCTTTGAGAGTTAGTTGAAAATGTTAGCTACCTGTACAACATGCAGCAAGCCATGTATTTGCCGTGACGGGGGTCGCATTTCACCATCTGAAACAAAAATATCATGAGTAGGTAATTATGTAAAAGTTCTAAGTACCTTAGTTAAAATGAGACTGTTTAATGATCTCCATTTCATCAGGAAATTGTAATTTTCACATATATTAATGTATTTTTACCTGGTTCGCGGGCTCGAAGCAGGCGTTGGTGATCTCAGCGACAGTCAGTTGTTCATGGTAGGCCTTCTCTGCGGAGATGACGGGGGCGTACGTAGCGAGTGGGAAGTGGATACGAGGGTACGGCACCAAGTTGGTCTGGAACTCCGTCAGATCTACGTTCAGCGCACCGTCGAACCTCAGGGACGCCGTGATTGATGATACGATCTGGAATCAGATAATAACAAATTATTGTCATATATTTAAATAGATAGCTGTGGCTGTGGTTAGAACAATGGTAAATGGCAAGGACTCTAAGCTCTATCTTTATGAAATTCCGTTCTTCGCCGGTTTGCGGTTTCAAATTTTGTACACAATTTAGTGAGCTATTTTTTGCATACTGCACTAGATTTGATTAGGTAGAACTGCAGTAAAGTTAATCGGTGAATAAGTAACACAAGAAGCTAACTAAAATCGGTTGACTTAAGGATCTCCACGAACCTGTCCGATAAGTCGGTTGAGGTTGGTGTATGTTGGTCTCTCAATGTCGAGGTTCCTCCTGCAGATGTCATAGATGGCCTCGTTGTCGACCATGAAGGCGCAGTCCGAGTGCTCTAGGGTGGTGTGGGTGGTCAGGATGGAGTTGTAGGGCTCCACTACCGCGGTGGACACCTAGAAACCAAATACAAGATTTTCAAACTCCAAACATTAAAGTCACAAGACATAATTATTCAGGTTCAAACTTGTGATGTCTCGTGTTGGTCCGATCGTTTGTAATTACCTGAGGTGCTGGGTAGATTGAGAACTCGAGCTTGGACTTCTTGCCATAGTCCACAGATAGACGTTCCATCAGCAGGGAGGTGAAGCCGGAGCCGGTGCCGCCTCCGAACGAGTGGAACACCAGGAATCCCTGAACAAAAAAAACTTATCTTTACGATTCTGTTTTACATCGTGCATTCTGTTTTTTCTTTCTTAGATTTTTGCTGACAAAATCTATCAAATTCATCATTAGTCGTCCTTATCCTTCTCATTAATCAACATCTTGGTAAGTATTTCCTCACCTGGAGTCCAGTACATTGGTCAGCGAGTTTCCTGATCCTGTCGAGGACGACGTCGACGATCTCCTTGCCGATGGTGTAGTGTCCGCGCGCGTAGTTGTTGGCAGCGTCTTCCTTGCCAGTGATAAGCTGTTCCGGATGAAACAGCTGACGGTACGTGCCTGTGCGCACCTCGTCTGGAGAAGGAATGGAGACATTTTAGGTACAATTAAATGTCTGATAGGTATCTAGCATAATTAAAAGATTTGAAGAAGTTACTAAATATGTAGTTTAACGACAAATATGAGACTTGAGTACATATCAACTAATCATAATTTTTAAATGGTTGCATTTTCGTGGATGAGACAAAAATTATAACCGTCAAAATACCTAATACTGTAGGGATGATACGTATATTACTAATACATAGAACCGAATAATTCTCTGAATTACTCTGAAAATATATGCCGAAAAAAGAAGGACATGATTCAGTGAACAGATGTTAGGTTTCAAGACAAGTTTGAGTCATATTTGAGTCACTGAAAGACGAATAAAATGAAATAAAGATGAAGTAAGAACAGGAGCACTGACGAAGTCAATTGATATGAACGCTGTACCACTTAAGGGCTAATTACTTTCATCCGAGTTGATCCGAGTACGGCTGCCAATTAAGATACCGTGGCAAAGTGCTTCTTAAGAGCAAGCTCTTAAAAGTATATTGAGGTTTCCTGTCTTCAAATGCGATGTGATTTCAGATATTCTAGTAGATAATGCCAAAATTTGGGACGAACTCAAGAGCATTTATTTGTAGGTATACGAATTAGACACAGTGGTCGCTAAAATCGTTTATAATATTTCCTTATCTATCTTTCTTTTTAAGAGGCTGGACTATTTTCTAACCCATTTGGTAAATGTATTCTTAGATACAA